CCTCAGGGTCGCAGCCTCACCCCCTCCACCGACCCCCTTGGCCGGGCTGCGCTCCCTGCTTCCGGCCTGAATCCCACCGCCGCCTCCTGATGAAACCATCGCCCGGCCGGTAGGTTGTCATTTCTATTCGTATATGTTGCTCAGTTTCGGATTATTTTTTTAATTTTTTTGAAGGCCCTTTGAACTCTCCGGGTTTGAAGAATCAGCTGTTTCTTCCGCGCAGGCGCGAGGGTTGCCCTCCGGCGGGTCTCCCCGGCAGGCCCTCCGAGGGGCAGCGCTCACGCCCATCCTCCCATCCGTGCGGGACACGTGCACGCGTCTCTCTCAGAAGCCGCATCCCTCCCGCACTCGGGGTGGTGTTCAGCCTGCAGACACCCCCCTGCTGTGGGCGTCCCCCGTCTGCTCCCCACCCCTCGGCGCTAGTCCCCTCTCGACTCCGAGGAGCTGGGCGCACTCAGTCCCCTCCAAGCTGGGCATTTCCAACCGGATGAATCACGTCGGGGAGAAAACATCCAAAGGGATGCATCGGGAAGAGGACGTCCCTTGGCCCAGCCCAGGGTGAAGGCAGGTGCGTGCAGGCCGGTGCACCCACGTCCTCTGGGGGGCGAGGCGGGGGGGCAGCCACATGACGTCAGAACGCGGCTCTGCAGGCGGGCCTGAGACCCGAGCTCCGGTGGATCCGGTCCACTCAGGAGCGGGAGTGGGCGGAAGCCGAGAGCAGCGCACAAGGCACATGCAGCGACCTGAGCTCAGGAGGCACCAAACCCCTCGCCAATGCGGACGCCCAGCCCGATGCTACCGTCTCCTCCTCGGGAGCCACCTGGCTCCGTGCACCTGGAGGTCTCACTCTTTTCCTCTTGGGACACGGCCTAGATTTTCTCTCGGAAGGAGGGAAGGTGCCCCAGCTCAATGGGAACCTTCTCCGTTCGTGCCCCAGGCGGCTGCCTAAAAGCAGCACAGGCCTCCCCTGGAAAGCAGGGTCCCCTCCTACTGCAGAGAGGACACGACCCTCCCAGCGCCCTCCGACCGTCCAGGAAACGACTCTCCACCGACGCAAAGAGTGGGAACGCGCAGGCCTGAGAGAGACAGACCCTCTGGGCAGCGTCCGTGGCAGAGAAGGGGAGCTGGTGGGTTCCTGCAGCCGCAGCCACCCTTACCTTGGTAGCTAAGGAGTGGGCAGCCCCGGCCTCCAGAAGGACCGAGGCCACGTCCACCTGGCCTTCGCGGGCGGAGATGTGCAGGGGCGTGTACCCGTTGGTGGTGGCTGCGTCCGGGTGCGCCATGTGCTGGAGCAGCAGCTGCACGATCTCCGTCTTGCCCAGGCGCGAGGCGATGTGCAGAGGCGTCTGCTCCTCCTGCAACAAAAGGCAGGTCAGAGATCAGTGCCCGGGGCAGCCCGGTGCCACCTGTTCCTCCTGCAACCCAAGGCAGGTCAGAGGTCAGTGCCCAGGCAGCCCTAATGCCGCTATCATTTGCATCATGGTTTCCTTTTTCTGAAGGAAATTATTACTACCCTGACCGCAGTTATTTTATATTTTCCTACGAGGTGACCTGTGTGGTCACAGGTTCTTCCTTAGCTTTTATTGTTGGAGGGAAGGGGATGTAGAAGAGGGTGCAGAGGATAAATGGTGAGGGAAGGAGACTTGACCTGGTGTGGTGACACACAGTACAATGTACAGATGACGTCCCAAAGAATTGTACACCGGAAACGTGTAATTTTATTCATCAGTCATCCCCATAAATAAGTAAGTAAGTTAATCGGTTAGTTAATTAAAGTATGTACTTCCCTCATCTTGGCCGTGGCTCTCTAAGCACACCCACAGGCCAGGCTTCAGCCTCATTCACATTTCAATAGAAACCAACCCTTGGTTCTGAATAAGAAAGAAATCGCACCCAGAAGCCCTCAGACCTAGATTCCATCGGGCGGTTTCACTAGGAGAAGGTGCTGATTGCCTGGGAACCAGGTCGAGAGAAAGCCAGGGATGCTGGGAAACCGGCTCTCCCTCTGCCGGGCCAGCCAAGGCCACCCGCGGTCCTGGCGTCAAGGAGAGGCCGAGGATAGAGGGGACATTGTCAGCGGATCCGTGGAAAGGTCCCAGGACGCGGTGCAGGTCCGGGACTGGCATCCCGATGCACACGGGAGCTCGGGCAGGAAGGAAACGGGCTGACGCAAGCCAAGTGCTCCCCCGGGAAGCGGAGGACGGGGCTGGTGTGAGGACACAGGACATGCTGCGGAGGCTCCAGAAACCCCTGGCTCTCAGGTGTGGTCAGGGAAATAGGTTTAGTGTTAAGGAACCAGACCAAACTGTTCTCTTGTGAAAAGAAAGGGCGGGTAGCCTCGGTGATGGGATGAGGTCTGTGCACACTGGCCAAGGGCGTGTCAGTCAAAGAGGAGGGAGAAGCTGGGCCCCCGAGCTGAGGACACACGGAGAGGAGAGACGGAATCGGAGCTCACAGGATGCTGCCCCTCCCAGGGGTGCGAGGAGCTACAGGAAGACGGGAGACAGCACTGTGTGGACTCGGTGGTGAGAGGTGGGCAGAACGGGCATTTCATGGACCTGTGCCCTCCAAGAGCTGCCTCCTGTGAGATGCACCTGGCCCTATCCTCAAAGCAGGCCCGAGAGGAAGCACAGGATCCACCATCAGGCCTTTCTCCAGAGGAGAAGCTTAGGAGGAATTAAGTGAGTCTCCAAGATTACCCACGGTCCCTCAGCTACTCACCAGGACAGACAGACAGAAATGCTACAGTATTGCCAAGAAAAGACCCCGAGGCCAGTGGTTTTGAGGAAGGATTTCAGGTGGTACCAAAAAGGCAAGAATAACAGGTTAAATAAGCAACATAAAAAAATTGGCAGAGATACAGAAAAAGAGCAAATGTCTATTAAAAATAAAACACATTAAAATTTGAAAATAGAAAAATATAATGAGTTTTCATTTTGAGAGATAATGGGAAACCCTGTTTACATAAGGATCACAAAGTAGTGATTAGGTATGTTATCACAATTTCTGGTAGAAATAGTGAAATTCATGCTCCTCAAGTTGCACTGACTGACCATAAAGTTTCTGTAAAAATAGCTGCGTGTAGGTGACCGTCCCATGAAGGTGGACAGGCAGCCATGGAGGGTGTTAGGGCAGGAGTGACTCCGTGTGACACCGTGGGAGGGACATGTCCAAACCCACAGACTGCCCAGCACCCTGATGCAAACAGTGACTCCGGCTGACGACGCCGTGTCCATGGGGGTCATGAGCTGTGACAAGTGCACCGTGTGGTGGGGTTGCTGATATGTGTGTGTGGGGGGGGGGGGGGGGTGGAGAACGGGTCATTTAGGAAATCTCTGTACCTTCCACTCAATTTTGGTATAAAACTAAAGTTGCTCTAAAAATAGTCTTTAAGGAAAAACAAAACAGAAAAATGCCAAGGCAGGGAAGAATACAGTTTGAATAACAAAATCTCTAAACATTTAAGAGCAAAGTACCAGTGATGGTACCAAAGATCATCAATTGCACTAACTTGTGCGATGGAGAGAAAGGCAATACAATCCAAAGACAAAGCACTGTCCAGGCTGCCCACCTGCCCCTGGTTCTGGGGGAAAATGCAGTAAAAACGCAGAGTCAGAGGATGTAAGAAAGACTGGGAGAAGCATTAGGGTTTCCAAGTCTAACCCTCGGAACTAACAGCGAAGACTGAACATGGAGCGAGATCTGAGAGACCTCGGCGGGTGCTTCGTTCCAACAGGACAGTTTCTGAAGTGAGTCAGGCGACTCATTCGAGCTGGGGTGTGTCAGACGATGAAGAAGGAGAGTGGCCCAGCAAGTGTGGCTCAGTGGTTGAGCATCGACCTATGAACCAGGAGGTCACAATTCGATTCCCAGTTGGGGCACAAGCCCAGGTTGTGGGCTCAATCCCCAGTGTCGGGCATGAAGGAGGCAGCTGATCCATGATTCTCTCTGATGAGAACTGTATAGTTTTCAAGGCCGCCGCCAGCAGGCGCACGAAGGGCTGGCTCTTCCATGAAAAGGGAAGTTCTGCTTGTAGCTTTGCTTAGATTTGGATTCATTTCCCTGAGCCCGCCGCGGTGAATAAAGTATAACTCCAAACTCTCAGAGCGCTGTTTGGTTCTGGTCCAGTTTTTCTGTAACACTATCTCTCTCCCTCTCCCTTCCTCTCTGGAACCACTATAGATAGATAGGTAGGTAGGTAGGTAGGTAGGTAGATAGACAGACAGACAGACAGATTAGATATAGATATAGATATGTTTTTTTTTTTTTAAGAAGAGAAAGTGACTAAATACTTCCCGGGAACCCCAGAGATACTGGTGTGACAGTTGGCAGGACAGCACGGAAGAAAGAGGGACAAACACTGCCGATGAGGCCAGTGTGAGGAAGAAGGTGGGACCGCAGCAGTCGGAAGGAACTTGAAGGAAGAGACATCAGCCTGGCGGGGGATGGGGGGTTAGGAACAATGGGAAACGGGAAATCCAACCGAACAGTGTCTGGGCCCAGGTTCTTCTGTTGCTGACAGTGGAGGGAAGACAGAGAAGGAAAGCTGGAGTAAGGAGGGGTGACCTCATCACAGGGGAGCACGGCCCCCCTTGACTGTAACCTGTTTCTAAGTAACGGGAAGGCCTGTCTGTGAACATTCATGTTGGTGGGAAGAAATGGGTGAGATTGTGCATACCTCCACAGCAGCAGATTGTAAATGCAAATGCGTGGAAACAAGCAGATGTGTGTGCAAAGGCTCTCACAAGGCAACATTATTCAAATGGTGATGGGGGCTGCGTTTCTTAGATACTGAATTGCACATTTCTCCAAATGCTGACGCTTCTGAAATGGGGGCATCCCCACTGCCCGCACTCGCTGCTCGCTTCCTTCTGGCCCGATGCAAGGGTCCTGAGGGGGTGCCACCCTGGAGGGATGGGTCCAGGCCCAGCACCTACCCTGGAAGGGGCCGTGAAGGAGGGGCCCGGCCCCAGCACCTACCCGGGCTCTGGCGTCGACCAGGGCGCCGTTGCGCAGCAGGCATCGCACCACCTCCACCTGGCCCGCCCGGGCCGCCATGTGCAGTGCCGTCTCCCCACGCTGCCGAGACAAGACATGAGGGTCAGTGAGCCCGTGCTCAGGTGGCAAAGAATAAAACATGCGTTTCTGTGACGTTCAGCAATAAACCCAAAGTTCAGGAAGTCTATGAAAAGGCATAATCACTCCACTGTTACTCCGTCTGGACAACCACGGCTTTGTGTCTTCTCTGTCTTCATACGGATAAAACCAACTCCTTTGCCCTTTCAGTCCATGATGAGCCAACAACCTTACCCAAATGCCCGGGACACCAGGCTGAGTGTGGTAAGCAACCTGGCAGGATTTAAATTTGTGATGTGTCGTTGCTTTTTTTCAATGTAAAACCTGTCAGGATCACACTCCACTAGTGATACCAACGTGGTCACGTTTTACTGAGAGGACGTCCAGACGCTGCAGGCCGAGGCAGCACACTCCAGCCACCACTCCATCTGCACCACGCGCAGGTCGGTCCTTCCCAGAGTTCAAAGTTAATATCCGAAACAAACTGCTAGTTTTCACCTGATTGGGTTAGGAGACCTGACAGCGACTGTTTGTACCAAATCTGACCTGCCCAGGAGGTTCCCTGCCTTTTAGTAATGTGCCCTTTAATGACAAGTCACTGGAGAAACCTGCTGGGGTGGCAGAGCCGTCCGCGGGTGGGCAGCGCTGGGCATGGGCCTCGCACATCCCGGGCCCATCGACCGCCACACTGATCAGGAAATGGTAGCTTAGAGGTTAGAGAATTTTCTCCCTGGGAAGCCTGTTCATTACTGACTAAAAGCAAGGTTTTGCCTTTTTTTAAAAAGAGCTTATTTTAAAATCACCTGCAGCTCTGCACATGGCAAACTTTCAGCCATGAAGTTTGGCCATAAAAGAGCACGACACTGAACTAGCAGTGAGCACTGAGTCGCCAGCCCTAGAAAGAAGGCTGATGTAGCCACGGGAAGTAACTAAGCCAATCTCAAGGTTGGTCATGGTGAGGGGAGTCGGACAAACCCGAGGAGTGCTTCCTTCTCATTCCTTGCGCAGGAAACCCTTCAACCTAGGTCAGTGGTCGGCAAACTCATTAGCCAACAGAGCCAAATACCAACAGTACAACAACTGAAATTTCTTTTGAGAGCCAAATTAAACTTAAACTATATAGGTAGGTAAATTGTTACTAACTTAATTAGGGTACTCCCAAGGCTTAGGAAGAACCACACTCAAGGGGCCAAAGAGCCGCATGTGGCTTGTGAGCCGCAGTTTGCCGACCACAGACCTAGAGGATTTAAGGCAGTGGTTCTCAACCTTCCTAATGCCGCAACCCTTTAATACAGTTCCTCATGTTGTGGTGACCCCCAATTTCATTGTTGCAAATTGAACATAATTAAAGCATAGTGACTAATCACAAAAACAATATGTAATTATATATGTGTTTTCCAATGGTCTTAGGCGACCCCTGTGAAAGGGTCATTGGACCCCCAAAGGGGTTGCGACCCAAAGGTTGAGAACTGCTGATTTAAGGTGAACTTTGGGTTCTATTCCCAGTAATTGGAGACTCCATCCCTTATAGTGTTGTGGGAATTCATTTCAAATGAGTTGACTTTGAAAGCATCAAACTGGATGTCTACTCTAATGTTTTCTTTTATGAATGGCTCACTGGCCCTCCAGTGCCCTCATGTTCTGGTGATATACTTGACTTTGGAGAGCAAGCGTGCCAGGAGCATCCTGTTTTATAGACTATGTGCAATTTGGACAGCAACACTATCTTCGGGCTTAGGATGTGTGGCAAGACCTTTCCTCTCTGACAACCACCATTTTTCACTTGTCTTCTTTGTCAGGTCAAGCCTGTCTCCAAACAGAGGAAGCTGAGGTCTCCTAACTGTTAAACACACACACCCCTCCCATCTCCATCCTATTTCTAGGTCAGATAACAGCACAGCCATCTTGCTAATCGTGGTAGACACAGAGACAAGATTGGATTTCCGTAACAGGAGGTAAGCCAGAGAGGCCTCCAGAGCACCTACTCAACAATGAGTGTATGTTCACTTTATAAGCCAAGATTTGTCAGTTTACTGACAAGATGGAAAATGCTAGTCTTACTATTTCCAATACCCTCATCTTACCTAATAATAGACACACATGGTAATTGACCATACCTCTGCTATGCTTCCCATTAGCTAATCAGCAGGATATGCAAATTAACTGCCAACAAAGATGGCGGCCGGCAGCCACACAGCTGAAGCGAGCAGGAGGCTTGCTTGCTCCAGTGATGGAGGAAGCCAGGCTTCCTCTCTGCTGCGGCCCGGCTCTAAGCTCCGAAAGCAACAATGTTTCAATTAGAGAAGCTAAACAAACCTCAGATACCTGCTTTCAGCAGGCCGCGGGCTCGGAGCTGGAGCGCAGGAGGTTTTCCTTCCCACCTACCCTGGCCGGCTGTAAGCTCCTCTCAGGCAACAAAGTTTCAATTATAGAAGCTAAACAAACCCAGATACCTGCTTACAGCTGGCCGTGGCCATGGAGCTGGAGCCTTGGTTGCCCCTGGTGATGGAAGAAGCCAAGCGCTGGCCCCAGGCTACAAAGTTTCAATTATAGAAGGTAAATAAATCCCAGGAATAAAAAGAAAAGAAGGAGAGGCTGGGAGCTTCTGTCACTGGGGAGGGTTGGCCAGCCTGAAAACGGCCCTCAGCCCTTCACCCAGACTGGCCAGGCACCCCAGTGGGGACAGAGCTCCCGGGCTGCCAGAGGGATGTCTGATTACCAGCTTAGGCCGAATCCCCCCAGGGAGTGAGCCCAAACCAGCAGGTGGTCATCCCCCAAGGAGTTCCAGACTGTGAGAGGGCACAGCCACAAATTTTTGTGCACCGGGCCTCTAATAATAAAACTAGTGGTTCAGTGTACAGATTCGTGCATGGATGGGGTCCAGCTGGCCTGGCCCCAATCAGGGCCCAATTGGGGCTGGGCCAGCCAGGAGGTGGGGCCATGGGTAATTGGCCGGCGGGTCCCACCCCCAGTTGGGGTGGGGGAGCAGATTGGGGACAGGGCCGGCTGTGGGGAGGGGCTGTGGGCGGTGGGCTGACCTACCCTGCCCCCAAATTGGGTGGGGTTGCAGATCAGAGGCTAGCAGCCAGGGGGAGAGGCCGTGGGTAATTGGCCGGCGGGTCCCATCCCCAATTGGGGCGGGGGAGCAGATTGGGGACAGGGCCGATCGGGAGCTAGCAGCCGGGGGGAGAGGCCATGGGTGGTTGGCTGGCCAGCCCTGCCCCTGATCAGAGGAGGGGGCCAATCAGGGGCGGAGCTAGCTGGGGGGAGGGGTCGTAGGCCGATCAGAATGGTGGGGGCCCATCAGGGGTGGGGCCAGTGAGGGGGAGGGGCCACAGGTGGTTGGCCAGCTGGCCCTGCCCATAATCGGGATGGGGTGGTCCAATCTGGGGTGGGGTCAGGCAGGGGGAGGGGCTGCAGGAGGTTCGTGGGCCAGCCTCAACCCCTATTGGTGTAAGGGGGATGATTGAGGGTGGGGCCGGCTGGGGGGAGGGGCTGCAGGAGGTTGGCCAGCCGGCCCCACCCCCTATTGGGGTAGAGGAGGTGGCAATTGGGTGTGGGCTGGCCAGGGGGAGGGGTCTCGGGAGGTTGGCCACAGGCCCCACCCACAATCAGGCCAGTTTGCTGGCCGCAGTGGGCATCATAGCAACTGGTTCCAGTCGTTACAGCGTTCCAGTCGCTGGCTTTTTATATATATAGACTAGAGGCCCAGTGCATGAAATCCATGCACTGGAGAAGGGGGGTGGTCCTTCAGCCCGTCCTGCACCCTCTCACAGTCCAAGAGCCCTCAGTGGATGTCCGACTGCCGGCTTTGGCCCACTTCCCCTGGCTGCTGCAGAGGTGGGAGAGGCTACCTCCACCACCATTGCGCTCGCCAGCCGTGACCCCACTGATGCACAGTTGGGGCTGGGGGGAACATAGGAGGTTGACCAGCCGGGGAGGGACCACGGGAGGGCTCCAGGGCATGTCCTGCCCGTCTTGCTCAGTCCTGATCGGGCAGACCCCAGCAGCAAGCTAACCTACTGGTCGGAGCATCTGCTCCCTGGTGGTCAGTGCACCTGATAGCGAGCAGTTGAGCGGTCTTCGCATATCATTAGCATATTATACTTTGATTGGTTGACTGGCCAATTGGATGACCAGACACATAGCATATTAGGCTTTTATCATATAGAATAAGTGATCTATATGGTGTTTGCACATTTGAAACGGATAGTTACATAGAAAATTTAAAGTATTAACTGTTAGGTTCACAGATAAGCTATCTAGGCAGACATCTACGGCCACTCCCCTGCCACTGGGGATCATGTTTGATTCTTACTTGATGGCTTTGGGGAAGCCGACCTGAACTGTAAATTCCCTCACCTCTTCCAAGTGCATTACCCTTGTGTAAGCGTAAGTTTAAATAAGAAAGTGAGAGAGGGTGTGTAGAGTTTAATCATAGCTTCCATCTGTTATCACACACCTCAGGGTGTTCAACATGCCTGTTTTCTTTATCTCCAGTTGATGAACTGTAAGGATTGGGGGATTCTTCACCCTAATATGCAGCGTGAACTCAGCCAGGGATCCACTGATCTGCTAACAGAGCCCTGTCCTCTGGACAGCCCCACGAGGCGTGGTCTTCGACCCTGTGAAGCCGGTGGCCACGGCCGGCTGGACATGAGTGCGCTTGTGAGTGTTGTGGGGAGGAGGTGTGGCTGAGGGGCTGCGTGCAGTGAAATCCCAGATACATCAGGACTGGCAGAGATGGGCGCGCTCACGGCCGAAGCAGGTGCTTGGCGGCATGCCCCTTTTGGGTGTTAAAGCCGACTCTGCTGACAGCTACAGCGACCGCTTGCTGCATCGGTCGGAAGCGTCAGAGAGGGACAGACAGCCTGGCATCCAACAGGGCAACACAAGTTCAGGCAGCACACAGAGGCTCTGGGCGGTTAAAAAATGTCTGTTAAATAAAAGATATATATGAAGAGGGGGGACCCAGGCTGGCACAGCAAGCAGACAGTTTCATGCAGTGACCTCATCACCCCCAGGACCTGGGACCCGTAGCTAAACCTCCCATCCCGAGAGTGACGAGGCCACGGGAACTGTGGGCTGCGGGTTGGCAAGTAACAGAACAGGATGCCGGTTCCGGGTCCCTCCGGACAAGGGGCGGTAATGCGTCAGCATGGTGTGTCTCGGACATGCGAGGGACACACTTACAGTAACACAATGACTCGGCCATGGCCGGCGTGGCTCAGCATGTGCACCAAAAGATGGCTGGTTCGATCCCCAGTCGGAGCACATGCCTGGGCTGCAAGCTCGATCCCCAGTCGGGGTGCATACAGGGGGCAGCCAATCAATGTTTCTCTCTCACATCAAAGTTTCTCTCTCTCCCTTCCTCTCCCTCTCTCTCTAAAAAAAAAAAATCAATAAAAACGCTTTTTAAAAAAGCAATTATTTATTGTTTACCAGAAATTCCAGTGGAACTGGCAGTCCTGTAATTTACCTGCAACCCTGCCCACTTGGTGTCTTCTCCCTGAAGAGCACATCGTACCCGAGTGAAAACAAACAGAGCCTAAGGGCAGCCGAGGGCAGGGTTCCCTCAGCAGCCGCCTCACAAGCACGTCCTTGGAGGGAGCTGAGGGGGAGAGTGTAATGGACACGTGAGAAGATGAAACAACCGAAGGCCTCTATATTGACCAACAGATGGAAGTCAGAGTGTGGTACTGCAGCTGCCAAATGTGGAAGTCTTTAGGAACCTGAGACATGTCCACGTTGTGGTTTTGTTTGTCTCTGTGGAAAGCTGCACGTCCCGATGCAGTGTGTTTCTGCAGAGGAGAGGACAGCGCTGTGGAGAACCCGTAGCTGCCAAGCTATTTGAAACTGGTCGGCGGAGAAGCACGGAGTCACACCAACATTTCAGAGGGGTTCTCTCTGAGGGTTGTGCAAGTCTCCCCGAGATAAAAGACTGCCTCAGGAGGTGTCAGTCACGCATCTCATAGATGTGCTGGCATTGTTACTGTCGTCACGTGATCATTAACAGTATCGTCATCTCTCCTGGGACCCTGCAGTGTCGGGACACACGTGTGGAGCCCGCAGCCCGGTGGGAGCACGGAGGACCTGTCGGTGAGTGGTCTGCACGGCTCCATTCACGAGCGGGAGGGACACTGGTAAACGCAGCCTTTACATTTCCATTTTGGGACCGTTTTATGCTCCCTATGTCGGTAATATGAAGAGGGACTATTGTGTAACATTTAAAATCAAATACACGTATTTCACGTGGACTTTGTTGCACACCAGGCACTTCACAGAAACCATCAAACACAAATCCCCGGGACGCGAGAGGAGACACAAGGAAAGGAATGAACATCGTTTCCCGCCTCACAGGGACAGACACCAACATCCAGCAACTCTCTGGACCCACTGCCTTTGGTAACGGGTCTTTTTAACCCTGAGCACAGATGCTCGTGGGGGCAGAGCTGTTTCTGCTGCCCGTGTACATCCTCAGCAGCCCGGGCCGAGAGCTCCCTGCACGGTGGTGCCCTGTGCCCGCGGGAGGGAGTGAGCGCACGGCGATCACAGAGTCTCAAGGGCGACTCCAGACAAGGACCCACACAGAGGCCCCGAGCCGAGGTGCGGGAGTCCCAGGGGCCGAGTTCCTGGCAGAGAGCAAGCTGTCTGGGGGTAGCCTGCCTCCCAGGTGTGTGAGAAATGGGATGTAACTCCCCAGGTCAGAGAGGGCGCCCTCTACCAACAAAATCAAATCCAGACAGAGTCCAAGCGGGGCAGCAGGTGGGAAACCCGCGTCCCTGAGGCCCGGGTGGCTACAGCGAGAGCAGCCTCCGCCTCTCTGGTTAGCGCACTGGCCTGGCTGGAACCTGCACAGAGATCGCCAGGGATACCGTCCAGCCAGCGCAGCGAGCCCCCGGAGCTCACTGTCCCGCCCTTAGTCAGTCGAGCTCTGACCAAGCGTGGGCTGCGTCCACCGCGTGGGGACGCTCCAGGACCAGCGACCCTCCCTCCCCGCAGACTCGGCTCAGTCCTACAATCACCCTGCACCAGCCGCACCAGCTCTCTCTTCACAGCCGCGAGCAGACGGACGCGCGGACAGCCCTGCTGGCCATACTCACAATGTTAGTGACGTCTGGGCAGGCGCCGTTCTGCAGCAGCAGCAGCACAATGTTCAGGTGGCCCATGAAGGCGGCCACGTGTATAGGCGTGAGGCCCGACTGCGGACAGAACAAAGCAACACGACAGCAGCTTTACTCCCCTGCACGCGCCCGGCTCTCCATCGGCGGCCTAGTGAGGGGCAGGGGGCGCAGATGGGGGAGTGAGGGGTCGTGACAAGCCGGGACCGTGTCTACCTCGGTGACCGCCTGGATGGAAGCCCCGTATTTCACCAGCAGCTCCATGACTTTGATGCGGTTTTTCTTGCAGGCAATGTGCAGTGGAGTAAAGCCGTTCTGTGCAAAAGACAACCGGTTAGTGGGAGACATGCGCAACCACTCAGGCAGGGCATGCACGACACGGCGTCCGACCGCATCGCCACACGTGCTGTGTCCTGAGGGCTCTGCCCCTTCAGTGAGCACTGGGCGTGCCCGTGGGGGCGGCTGTGTGGGGTCCTGCTTGTGTGGACACCGAAACAAGCGCCCACAACAACACGGCAACTCGTCAGAGAAGGACAAGGGGCCGTGAGACGTGAGGGGGGCGATGAACCGTGTCACGTGCTTTGGAGATAAGCACGTTTTTTTCTGATGAAAGGCCACATCTTAGGCGTAAACACCCTTCATCGGTTTTAAAATTCCAAGGCCATGACTGCCTCTACAATCAGTGTTTGAGATCTGCTACCACTTTCTCCAGGAGGAGGTGCCAATGAGCAGAAAGCATGATTTGTGTGGATAGTTTTTTCTATCCTGATGTTATATTAAAATGTGTATAGGAAGTTATCTTAGCAGAAGTTGTAAGACAGGTTCATGAAACCTATTTTATGAAGAAATGATTGTTAAATTCATGAATATTTTTAAGAAAAGTGTGGAGTGTTTCTGGAATAATGGGAAGGAGAGATCTCTCAGAGGCAGAGGAATGTGGTGATGTCTAAGGCACTTTTGAACTTTTGACACTGAGGTCATGTGTAGGAATTGGGGGCTATTATATAAAAATGTGCCTGGCCGGCGTGGCTCAGTGGTTGAGCGTCAACCTATGAACCAGGAGGTCACAGTTCAATTCCCGCTCAGGGCACATGCCTGGGTTGTGGGCTCGATCCCCAGTGTGGGACATGCAGAAGGCAGCCGATCCATGATACTCTCTCATCACTGATGTTTCTATCTCCCTCTCCCTCTCCCGTCCTCTCTGAAATTAATAAAAATATAAAGAAAAAGAAAAATGTGTCCCCAAACTTCCTCCGGTGTGCTGTACTGAGTATATTTCTATGTGAATGTGGATCCCTGTGGGGGACGGGAGCATGTGCCCTGCAGGTGACCGTGGGGACAGCGCCAGCCAGTGTTTCTTGGCCCCGCCCCTCGCAGGAGGCGCGAGGTCATGCTGACCCAGCGCCTGCTCCTCCCAGGGCGGAAGGCATTTCCTGGTATGGGCTGTGGGTGAGCAATGTAAGCAGACGCACTTACAAGACTTCATATTAAGTCGCAATCTACACGAATAAAAGAAAACATGCAAATTGGTGTCACTTCACTATGCCCACCAGCCAATCAGCCGGCCTGGGCAGGGGCGAGCCAGCGATCAGAGGGAGATGGGGGGGGGGCGTGCCCAGGCCCCAAGGCTTTAGGCCTGGCCAGGGGCCGAGCCGGTGATTGGAGGGGGCTGGGGGTCCCCTGCCCAGGCCCCAAGCCTGGGCCAGGGGCTTTAGGTGTGAACTACAGAGGAAACACCTTTTCTGACTGCTCATTGGCTAAGCTCCCTGATGCCACTGGTAATATTCTTAGTAACTTGGGTAATAAGAATCCAATAAGGTGATCTAGGGGTTTTCACCACACTCCTGGAGAAAATAGGAAAGTCCACTGCTGGAGGGCTAAGAAATGTCATATCCTGCCCTAGCTCGTTTGGCTCAGTGGCTAATGCCTTGGCCTGCAGATGGCAGGGTCCGAGTTCAATTCTGACCAAGGGCATGTACCTAGGTTGCAGGCTCCTCCCTGGCCTGGGCCCAGGGCAGGGCTCATGCAGGAAG